TTTAAAAATTTTAATATCACCAATTAAAAAAATAAATTTATATTATTTCAATACATAAACATATCTGATAGTGTTAATAGCAATAATTAAATTGTTAATTCAATCAAATAACTTTAACAAGTTATATTTTTGTTTAAATTTTTATATAAAAATAAATAAAATAATTTCAGTTTTTTAAAATAAAGAAAAAAGACTTTTGAGAAAAGTAAATAACAAACACATAAATTTTTTCTTTTTAAATTTAAATATTGATTTATTAATTTTTTTATTAATAAATTCTTTTTCAATCTAATACTTTTTACAAATCATATTAAGTTATTGATTTTTTTAAATTTTTATCAAATAAATTTTAAAAAAATTTTATTTGATAAAAATTAAACAATTAAGATATATTAATCATTTGAAAAGTGTTTTTAATAAAATTTATATCATATTTTTATAATTAAAATCAACCATTGCTATTTTAATTTTTTATATCATTTTGTTATGGTAATATGACATTAAAAGCATAATTTATTTGTAAGCCTAATTTACTTTAAATCAATTAAGAAATAAAAGTTAGTTATTTGTAAAAAATATTTATTCTGTAAAAAAAATCAACCCATTAAGTTAACAATAGATAAAGCTAATAAAAATGAAGATATAAAACATAAGAACATTAAGTCAATATAATAACTAAGCTAGAACTAAACATGATGGTTTTAATAAACTCAATAAAGTAGGTCATTCTACGATAATCTCTTTCTAATTTTAAGTGTTTAATTTAATTAATAATTAAAAAATTAATTCATCTAGCGTTTTTTAATTCTTTTTAAAAAACACCAATTTATTTTTCTACCTTTTATTTTATAAATTTAATACATATTGAATTTTTTTTCTGAAATTAAGATAATATAAATGAAACTTTATTGTTAAATGTAAAAAAATCTAATTATAAAAAATAATTTTCTTTTTCATATAATAATGATATGAAACTATATCAACAAAAAACTTTCTTTAAGAAATAAAACTAATTTAAAGTTTTAATTTTGATCTAATTATGAATTTGTTAAAAATTAAATTCATAAAAGGAATCCCAAAAATCATTATAAAACTAAAGTAGATTGTTATTATAAATGATAAAAAATGTTTAATAAAATTTGTCAAAAAATTATTAAATTTATGATAAAGCGTATTGGAAACTTTATAAAAAAATAAAAAATATTAAATGATTATTATTTGAGAAAAGTTTTTCGTTATTAAAAAAAGAAGAGATATAAATTCTCCTTTTAACACATACACTCTTTTTAATATGCTATATTGATTTCGATTTGATGTATTTTTAGTTTTTTTTAATATTAAATAAAGTTTCTAAAAACACTTTTTTAAAAAGACAAATCAACTTTATCATTTTTTAAGAAAAAAAATCAAATTTTCAAAGAAGTTGGATCAAGTCTGAAATTTTCCCCACAGGGGGAAAATTTCAGACTTAAAAAATTCATAGAAAATAAATAAAAAA